TCTGGTCAATATCAAGATGGGCCAAACTAAAATAAACGTGAATGTCGTGTCGCGTCGGGTAGTATACATATAAACAACGCTCATGTTCATGTTTACCGAAATTTTCCAGGGTCACATTGACTTAACACATACATGCATCTTGATCTGTTTTCTTATAATTATGATTCTAGAGCTAAAAAACATTTTTTTACAGATTTTTCCGCGTTTTGTTTAAAGAATTCAGTAAATATACACTTGTGGCGAGTTGATAACCGAACATAGGCATATGTTATTAGTTATTACATGGAATGTTCTTTTGATAAACACGAGGAGGTACAGGAAAACTAGTACAAATGCCTTCAACTAATTTTTCATTTGAATAATTAAGTAATGTAAATCTTATATTTTAATTGAAAACATTTAAGGAATGTTACGCATTGTTCAAATAATTTTGAGAGTTCGGTTAATTTAGAAGCGTTTTCAGAGAAGCAGGTGATATTTACAGATAACAAATTATGCATTTTGGCTAATGCAGCATAAAAAAAATCCGACTAAGAAATATGGTCAGAGAACATATTACAATATTTGTATACTTAACAGTTTTATTGATCTAATATTTATCGTTTCCCTAATAGATAACTATTAAATCAGAACTCAGAACCAATTGCATTTTTTTTTAATTCAGCTGTACGACAAAAAAAGTCATACACTTTCAATCATTATTTTTTTTTATCGTTAATATTTATTTCAAATAATAATATGTACATACAATCCTTTTATATTATCAATCTAAATCGTTTTAATTGTGGGAAGCAATGTGAGAACTTTTGAGATTCACTTAGCCCTATATAATTCATTAATTCTAACCTTTGTTACGTGTATAATTCAGCAGCTGTATTCAGTGCTGGATTACTCTTATAAAGATCACTAGACAATGGAAATCCTAACGTAATTAACTCTAGAAATCATTACAGAGTTTTCATTATTTTATTATTATAATTAAAAAAGATGTATTTTCTAGTCAAAAACTAACAGGGAAACTTAAACGAAACAATTACAATTAAATATTGCAAAGCTTTCATTTTTATCATTTAATTCCACATTTTATATTCTTTTGTTTATTTACTTATTTATCGATTTCTTTTACAAACAATAGTCGTAGTTTTGATCTATTTTTTTTCTCGTTGACATTTAAACATTCTATATATATATTAAAAGTTTTGCGACTGTTAAAATCTCTACAAGAAATATTTAGTGCAAAGCGTTTATAGAAACAGAAGGCCCAGAAAAAATATTACACAATTACAGATTACATGATATAAAAAAAAAATATTGCTAAATCGGTCAAAAATAAGCTACGAAGATCCAATAATAATACGCTGATCTGAGAATCAATTATAATTAACGCGGCCTCAACTACCTAGACCGGCCGGGCACAATTTCACCCCTCGTATTTTCCTGATCTTTTCATAAGTAATTATCGAGTGACAATTCAGCTCAGTCCCAAAAAATGTATAAGAAATAAATCAGGAATATATCTAATGAAACATTAACTATACAACGGTCCTAATTGCTATAAGTTTGTCTTTTAATGAGTAGTATATAGAAAACATTATTTAATTAGAAAAGTTATGTATATGATTTTGTATTCGACAAATCACCAAATATTTTATTTTCGGACTTTTTTGTAAACTTAGCATACTTATAGGTTGCTTCTGTTTAACTTCATTCTCGCTGTACATAAAGTACACTAAAAATTGTTAAACGGTGGTCAATTTTCACCTTGTGAAATATAATGTTTCAACAAGTATTGAAAGATGTACAGACTAAATAAGTACTGATGAGAGCTACCATGGTTTACAACAAGCAATTTTTTTATATTCGTAACCTTAGCATACCAGAGGTAAGTCTTTAAAACTACTTAAAAAATTACATTGGATAAATAAGAGGATTCTAAAATAATGTTAAAAACAGTGACAAATGCAGTTTAAGCTAGCACATGGTACATTCAGAGGATGAAGGGCTCAATTTTTTTGAAGTGAAACTTTTTGAGGCACGATTGGGTAAGTTCCTTTCATGCGAATTGCTATCTAACGAAATCATGCAACGCATTTTCCCCGCTGTCTGTCCCTATGTATGCTTACATCTTTAAAACTACGCAACGGATTTTAATGCGGTTTTGTTAATAGATAGAGTAATTCAAGAGGAAGGTTTATATGTATAATACATAATGTAGGAAAGAAACACTGATAATTTTGGAGGTTTGTAATGTGATAAATCGTAAATAAACACATTTTTTGCGCTTACATTGCAAACGCTGACTGAACTCTACGAGATAGATCACTACTACAGTATTATACCTACACCTTAAAAAGGTCTACAAAAAAGTTCGGGATGGTATATGTCTATCTCTTAGGGATAACCCACAATAACCACTTTTTATCCTTTACTTTTTACGAGAAATAATGGCTTATTTACGAAGCGATTTTAAGCAATACAGCATTAATCCTTATCCAATTAAATACTTTTAAATACATTGTGCATTCAATATACATCAATATGGCCCTTTACAGCATCTAATTTAAATGAATATTTTCGAAGATATTACAACCTAAAATGCAGGGACATAGCGGTTGCGGCGGTACCGGCCGGTTTGTATTGTCTAATGACAAAAAAGCTGTGATTGTTATATATGAAGACATTCTATAGTATATTTACTATCAGCATTGCACCCGTGCGAAGCATAATGTACAAAAAATACCATTAAACCAATTCCTTAACCCCTATCCCGGTATGTTTGTGTGTTTGAAGAAGTTTCACTTCAGTAGCGTTGTACTTTTTTTTTTAATTACGTCTTTGAGAAAGCTTTAAAAAATTAAGAGAAATGTAGTCCTAGGTATATTTAAATGAATTCCTGAAAGGCGGTCATGTATGTATGTTGATGGGAAAGGGAAGGCAGGCAGGGACGAAGAAAATTTACGACCAAATCAATTTTAGGGTAGTTCTTATTATAAAACTTCCCGCTCGTTTGATTGCTGAAATCAAAATTTGTACTTCCATATAAAAAATATGTCACGAACTTCAAAGGTCAAACTCACATTTAAGGTCACCAATTCATTTCCTCTTCGAGAGCATACAACTTTTTCTCACACTTTTTCCGAAGTATTGAGAATCAATAAAGATAGTGGACTCTCCGTTTGCTTAGGAACGTACCCACTCCACCTTAATTTCCAAACACGTTATCATAAAATTGTTCATATACCGCATGACGTTAAAGTTTCGCACTATATTGATGTAAAAGTTAGCTGGGATGATGATGGTAATTTTCGGTTCATGTTGAGATTGATAACCAATCAGAAAACCTTTTATTTACAATTGCATCTTCTATTGTACTCAGAATTGTTTTCAATGTTAGTGATTTTTACGAATTTTCCTAAAATGTAGCATCGTGCTACAGATGGCGCTCACTGTGCCGTTTGTAGTATTTTCTGAAACGCACTGTTAAGACAGCAGGTAAAAGTCGGTCTGTGTTCTGTCGGAGCTGCCTGCGACGCGCTGATGAGATCCAAAAAGATCGTAATCGCGATCCACGTCTGGCAGTTTCGACAGAATACAGACCACTTCGAATTATGGGATGTAATTTTTGTTGTGTACGAGATATGCAAAAGTGGCTCTTATCCACCCACATCCATTATTTTTGCCTTTCTAACCAATTCACGGTATAAAAGCGTGTGTAGGCTGCTATACATATTTAACAATCATTTTCACACTTTTTCTTAAATAAACGTAAAACCTTCTGACCGCGATTTATCGCAGTTTCCCTATGCCATGAAAATTGATGAACATTGCATATGTAGTAGGCTTTCAACGCCACGAGAAGACAATGAAAAATAAATAATCGTGAAAGGTAAAAATACCCTTATTTACCAAAACCACATCGTTAATAAAGAAACCTAAAAACTTTTTCTATTCTTATTTTCGCATTTGTGTAAACTACTGCTCTTTAAATATGTGAATATTTACCCTTCTAAACGAATAATCAATTTACTCTGCTTCATCTATATATATAAAAGAAAGTCGTGTTAGTTACTTCACTTATAACTCAAGAACGGCTGAACCGATTTGGCTGAAAATTGATGGGGAGGTATCTTACAACCGGGAGAAGGACATAGGATACTTTTTATCACTTTCCACAAGAAAAATGTGGTATATGTAAACGCAACTGACATGGAATGACAAAACGAAATTGACAGCAAAACAAAAAATTTATCAGTCAAAACATCAGTCTAGCCTTTCATTTGTTAAGATTGCATGTTTGTTTTTGGTTCGATTTACTTGAAATTGATTAAAAAATTCAATCTCTGTTGGGGGGGATGAGTGGTGAAGAGGAGTTGCAATGTTTAAATGGAACATATATTATTTGTGATCAGATTTACTTGAAACTTTGTTTTAATGGTCTCTCATTTAATTTCTGAAAGATCTATCTCGACAATTTAAAAAAGGGAAAGGTGTTGCAATTTTTGTTTGGGACATACTTTATTTATGGTTGAATTTACTTGAAACTTGGTATATATGCTGTTTGATATTATTAATCAAATGAAAAGAGGTTGCAACGTTTCCATGGGCTACATTTTATTTGTACTCGGATTTACTCGAAGGATGCTCATTGCTGAAATTAAGCAAATAGTGTTTTGGCAATTTTTAAAAATCAACCCTTAAGGATGAAATGTTGTTGCTACGTTTGTATTTGAAAGATGGCGATATTACACAAAATTAAAACGTTGTAAGGGTGAATTGGGAGCTAAAAGGTTTTATGGAGAAAGAATATTAATTTCTGTGAGCGAAGCCGCGGGGAAAAGCTAGTTATCAATACACGGTTCCAGATTAGGCTGTAGTTTAGTTTTCCTTAAAAAAATTTTACTGGGGTCTATGAATTACAAAATTGTAACGGATAGCTTTAAAAATGTCATAAAGATATATAGATTTCGAGTATTAATTGTAGAAAATTTCATCGTGTTTACCTGGTAATTCCAAAAAGTTTGATGTGCGCCGTTGCCTTCCTCGTGCAGTGTTTTGAAAGTTTAAAGGTCCGATGTCTTCATTCGAAACATTCGAAGCCATTGAATCCCGCGAACTGCGCCTGGACGCCAGATAAGCTAATCCTTTACCAGATCCTTTCCTTCTCGGGGAACTCGGTCTACTTAGTGAGGTGAGAGTTGTTTGGTTCGCTTCGTCTGTGAGATCTGTCAGATCAGAGGTAGATTTTCTGCACCTCTGAAGACTTCTATTTTCTTTAGCCGATTCCGAAATCGATCTATTGGATCCATATTTCTCGTCATATCCAGGATTTGTGCGTATATTGCATATAGGCCTTCTTTCGTTCTTTTCCTTGATGGAGGAATGTCGAGCGCGACGTTTAACAATTGTCGGAATTGCCTGGTCCCTGTCCTTGCAACTGCTTTCTCCCCATGTGGCTTCTATTGGATTCATAACTTTATATTCGACGCTCTGGTAATCTCCGTTTGGGTGTTGAGTGGTCGCAACATATTCCAAACTGGATTTGGAGCTGTTTGAACTGTTTTTGCTCTCCTGAAATTGTTGCCTGTATAGACCGTGATTCTTGGGTTTTGGAGGAGGCTGAATGTTGAAATTAAAACAGCTGTCGTTGACATTGTTTTCCACGTATCTGGAAGGAGACGGTGGAGTACCAGAAACGGAGGGTGGACGGGGAGATTTGGGCGACTTGTGACTAATATGCGTCCCTTTCGCTCCACTGTAGCTGGGTGAAATTTGGCCTTTGTGGAAGTCAGTGGGGCTGTAGGCCATGTCGAATTCGGTTTCGCTTCCGCATTTTCTGGTCGTACTTTCTCCCTGCGAAAATGTGAATACCTTTTCACTTTTCGACGTCGGACTGTACGGGTGCGAACGCGGACTGCACTTCGCGAAAATCACTTTCGAACTTACTGATGACACGCTAGGCGATTTAGGAGAACTGTAATTGTTCGTGGTGATGTTACGTTGAGTGTTTGTGTACGAACTTGTGCTGGAGCAGTCGTCCGATGCTTCGAAGTTTATGAGCGAGTTCTTTTGAATCGAAGCCGGACTTGATCGGTCTGAGGAAAATGATAGTCTTTCAAATGACGAAGTCGACTTTTTTGACGACTTCGTCGATGACGTTCTCGATATTGTACCGGTACTGCTCATGGTGGAAGTAAGAGAACTGTTGTTTACAATTAGTTGAACCTGTAACAGAAGAATACCATTGTTATTATATATTTCTCATCTGGTTATTGGTCAAAAATTGCATTACGAGTCAGTAAACCAAAGAAATAAGGAGGCGGTGTTATTGACATCGAGATGATTCTTTTAGCAAAAAATCGCAATTTAATTTAATAATAATATTCATTATAGCAGTATTAGCATATGGCAAGAAGGATTTAGAGATAGTTTTACATAAAATGAAAGCGGTACTGACAAAACAGCACTGTATAAAAATAAATAAAAGTAAAACAAAAATACAGGTATGCAAGGGAAGAAAAAGTAGGAAAAGATCGAATATAAAGATAGGAGACGAAAAATTAAAAGTGGCTGATTTTAGGTATCTAGGAAGTCAGATAAGTCAGGACGGAAGGAGTAGTAGGGATATAAAGCAGAGAATAGCGCAGGGTCGAGTCGCCTTCAATAAAAAGAAGTCACTTCTGCACTCGCGAACGGTAAATTTAGAAATTCGAAAACGATTTTTAAAGATTTATGTTTGGATCGCGGCGCTGTACGTCTGCGAAACATTGACGGTGGGGGCTGCGGAAAAAAAAAAGGTTAGATATGCGAGGATTAGCCCAGGATAGAAAAGAGTGGAGGTACGTGTCCAACCAGTCTCAAGACTGACGATCTTATGATGATGATGAATAGTAATAATAGTACTACCTAGTTTATTTTTCGTTTTCGTTTTTTTAGGTGGAATTTTATCGTTCTTTTCTTTCAAATCGTACATATTAACGATCGTCTTTGAATTATACAATTATTAAATTCACTAGCACGTACACAATATCATTATTATTACTGTAAAGATACAAAAAAACAATATCAACGGTGTATTTGGCAGTTCTTTTAGCGAAATCCTTCAAGGAATCAATTTCTCAGTCCGATTGACATAAAACATAAAAGAATTTGAATTTCGTTACAGCGGCGTTGTGCTCATACCAAGGAATTTTCAAAGAAACCCTGGAGAAAGTGTAACATCCACATATTTTTTAAAATTCACATAGTTTCGCGTTTGTTCGTTTTATTGTGCAAATTCTTTAAAAATAAATATACATATATTTTTGCCCAACGTTTCACGGAAACCCTTATATACTATTCGTAGTATTTTATAGGGTCGACTCCCTTAAGGGAGAGCTTTAATCTCTTTAATTTGTTTTTGCATGTATAGCTGCAATGGTTTTTGTGCTTTATGCTGATATTGATTTTTAAATGGGCAATAATAATTTAAACAGTTTTTAAATTCATTTAAATCTATCGTACCAATACTATAAAACCATAGATATGTAGAAATATTTTACAGATGGCGTTCACTGCATTACTTGTAGCAATTCATCAAACGTTATCGAAAGGCAGCAGGTATACATAGTCTGTGTACAGTGGAAACTGTATATGGCGTGGTGATGAGATCCTATGAGATCGAAATTGCGATTCATACGTTACGGTTTTGACAGAGTATGAATTTTTTTATTCTGATTGGTTACGTGTTTGCAACGTAGGGTTAGGTACAGCGTAGCTTCAGCTGTATTTATTACTTATTCATAAAAAAAATACATTTCGGTTGTGTATTTCTCGACACGTACCTATTTAAATTAAATATTTTAAGTGACAATTGTTAACAATTTCTTTTTTATTTTCCACCATCAGTGTGCTAAATACATATATTGTTATTATCTAAATGCTTATATCTGTAAACAATTAATTGGTTTACTAGCGTTGAAATTATTACAGTTCCCGTTTTCTGTTTTATAAATAGTGCATGGAATATATTGTTTTCATTGGCCCGTGTCAATGATCCAACAGAACTGCAAAAAGCTTTTAATTAATTAAGGGAATATCAACAGTTATGTTTACCTTCATTGAAGATAACGTTGCCTCTAATTGATAAATATCGGGTACCTACCTATCAAATAGACATTTACGCCTTTGTGCGTATGCATTGGAATTACCTAGATGAATAGATACTTGCATGTGCTGAAATTACAGCAATCAAAGTAGTGATAATTATCATTTGTTCATTGCTTATTATAACTGAACGTGAAAGAATCTTAATTATCTGCCGAAAAGTTAAAAACTAATTTTTCTAGAATTTTTAGAAATAAGAAAGGCCTTATATTCAAACAAATATATTGTTACCAATCAGAAATACCTATACTGGCTTAATAAATTATTATTCCCTTAATAGTAACTTCTGAGTCCAAGCAGTTGTGGAGTTTTATTGAATATATTTGCTAAATATATTTGTTGAATCTTCTTGTCAGGTATGTCAAAATGCTACGAGACAAATAAAAATTTGGAAGAACGTTTCTCATTTCATTCTAAAAATCCTGTAAAAATTACAAATCGATTCACTAAACCTTTAAAAAGTTATTGAAATTTTAAAAAATTGTAATTTTACACGTCATTTTATGGAGATTCGTTAATCGAACAAATTAAATTTATTTTTATTAACAGAAAAAAGCTACCAGAAATTTCAAACTTTTATAATAAGTAACTTGAACTCTGGAGAATCAACTTTAGCGTAAGGTTATTAAACATTCACTAAATGGTTATCGAGGAAAGAATGAAAAATTAGCTGAAAATCTCGTTTTTACTTGATAATATAATGACAATATTTATAATTGTCTGAAATAAATGCAATTTTAGAATTTTAATTATTATTTAAACATATTAAAAAGTTTTACGCTCATTATTAATAAAGATTGAAACTAAATATTTTTTTGTTTCGAAGTTGAAATCAAGGCATATTCACTGCCAACTACTGATA